AGACCAAAATGGTGGCGGCGTGGGGGAACTGCCCCCGATTGTACATGTCTACCGTATCCCCCATGTGTAACCCCCATGTGCAGCACCCGCGTGCAGCCCCCATGTGTACCACCATGTGTAATTCCTCGTGTAGCACTCGTGTGTAACAGCCCCCACGTGTAACCCCCAACTGTAGCTCCCCCGCGTACGGTCTGGATGTGTTGGCTATCGCGTCGCGGCGGCGGCCCCAGCGACACGCTATGTTCTGCAAGCGATAACGTGTCGCCCCTCCCCCCTCGGCGAGAGGCTGGAAAAGGCGCGGGGCGTCGATGCTGGGGGATTCGGGCGAGGTTAGCGTATCGCGCGGAAGCGTGGTGGGCCAGAACCAGCGGCGCGACGCGCTGACCCAAAGTTCCTGACCGCAGCTCCGGTGAAAGGAGCACAACGAACGATACGTTTCGGAGGCCCACGCGGATCTCTTGGATCGGCGCTGGGGCAGCGCCAGAGGCGTCGCCAGTGGGGCCCCGGCGCCGATCCAAGAAATTCGAGCGGGGCCTGAAAAAAATACGTTTTGGGCAATCATTCTACCAGCCTGGAACATATCCCTATCCCTATGCTGGGCACCTCCTCATCACGATGCCAATCTTAGGGATCCCCATATTTTTTGAAGGCGGATCCCTAAGATTGTCATCGCCTTTTGGCGGGATAGGGATACGTTCGGGACTGGTAATCATTCGCTTTTCGAGAGTGAGCCCCCCGAGCGTAGACCCCAGAGGCCAGACCCTGCATCCAGCCACGCGCGCGCAGAGAAGGCAAGGCCGTTCGGGCTCCCCCGCTCTGCAGATTTCTTGGATCTGCGCTGGACCCCCCCTGCCTGGCGCGCGGAGCGCGCCAGGAGGCCCCAGGCGCCGATCCGAGAAGTCCGCGCGGACCGCCAAGAGTTTCTGTTTACGCCGATGTGTTTTTCGGCTCCGACGCAACTGGTTACCATCAGGTTGCCTGCGGGCTCGCGCCGCGGCATTGTCGTTCCATGCTTGGCCGCCCCGCCGCTCGGGCGGGAAGGCCCTCTCCCAGCAAAAGGCCTGCGAGATGCGAGGACCACGGCCGCCGCGCGCAGCCTGGCAGTACGGATCATGGGAAAACTCACGCAGTAAACATTTAGAAGCAGGTGCACTTGGGTGAAAACGAGCTCGCTACCCGTAGCAAAGCCACGGAGGCCCTGAACGCTCGTTGGGGGGCATAAGAAAAACAATGCCGCAAAAAACGCCATAAACATACACATGTGGCGCTCCGCGCGGATTTCTCGGATCTGTGCCGGACCACCCTCCCTGCCGCGCGGGGCGCGCCAGGGGCGGCGCCAGAGGCGACGCCGGGGTGGGGCCCAGCGCGGATTCAAGATATCCGCGCGGAGCACCAAACGTTTATGTTTATGGCGCGTTTTCTTCTTCGAGACGTGTCCGTATCCGCCTCCCCTGGACCGACGTCCTGGGACCCCCGCGAGCGGTGGACGTGGACAGATTCAGGCCACATGGGGGCCTGAATACATCCATCCTCCGCTGCCTGCCGAGGGCGGACGTGATGGATGCGCACAGGCACCCTTGCGTAGCGTGTCGCGCGGCGGCCCTGGCGACACACTATCCCTTGAGAACGGGTAGCGATTCGCTCCGCTCCGCGGAGCGAGGGGCTCGGAAAAAGGCTCGGGAAATTGACGCTGGGGGGCCAGGAAGTGGATGGCGGATCGAGCGTGTCGCCGCGAGGCGCGGTGGGCCAAAACCAGCGGAGCGACGCGCTGTCCAGAAATTCCCGTCCGCATCTCCCCGCCTCGGACTGAATGCCACCTGGCCCCCGCAACCGCGCGACGACACGCGAGGGGAGGCCCACAGCCCCGTGTCTCCCTGCGATCCCATGCGCCAGCCTGTCGCCCGAGAGGTCGGCCGTCGCCGTCCTCGCCCTTCTCTTCCTCCGTACCCCGCGCAGAGTTCCTGACCTCCTCCTCCTCCTCCTCCTGCTCCTCGTCCTGCTCCTCGTCCTGCTCCTCCTCGTGCCCCTCCTCCTCCTCCCGCGCACGCATCAAAGGAAGAAGGGAGAAAGTCCCTCAATCCTGACAGTCCGCGGGGGGGCCTGGCCACCACTTGAGGAGACCAACCCCCCCGACCGCGAAGTCGAGGCTGTCGACTTCGCCGCCCGCTCAGACGGGCACCGCGGAGATGAACGCCGCGAAGCACACCATGCGCAGGGAGGGGGGGAAGGGGCAGGCGGCGCCCGCCCGCCGCGGGGGGCGCATGCTCGCCGCCCCCTCCGCTGCTTCCCCCCCCCTTGCCCCGGCGCCGGGGGCCTCCGCCGCACCGGCGAGCCAGGCGCGGAGGCGGGCAACCAGCCAGCAGTCGGCGACCCGAGCGCCAGGCGCCGCGAGCCACGCTGAGAGCAGCGCGCACCTCTCCGCCGCCTCGCCGCCGACCACCGCGGCCACCCCGCCAGCAGCGGCAGCAGCGGCCGCAGCAGGCGCCTCCTCCGCAGGCCGCTGGGCGCCCCCCCCCTCGCCGCCAAGCCGCACTCCAGGCGACTCACGAGTAGGGGGCGCCCCGCCAGCTGCCAGCTGCCCCCCGCGCCCCAGCAGCGGCGCTACGCGCAGCGGCGGGCGCATCGGCCGAGGGCGCTGGGCGGGACACGCGGGTGTCCGCCCATCTGTCGCCCTCGAGGCCGTAAAGCCCCTCTGCAGCTCGAAGCAGCCGAACGGCCGCCGAGCCGCGCGTGAGGCCCGCCGCAGCGTGCACCGCCCGCGAAGCCCCGCAGGCAGCGGCGAACGCAACACGAGCATCGAGCGCCGCCGGCATCGGAGGCCCGCGGCGAGCCGCCCGACGGCGGTCTTGCGGCAGCGGGCCCGACGCGGGAACAGCGGTTCCTCCTCCTCCTCCTACCCCTCCCCCTCCTCCTTCTCCTCCTCCTCCTCCTGCTCCTGCTCCTGCTCCTCCTCCCCCTCCTCCTCCCCCTCCTCTTTATCCTCCTCATCCTCCTCCTCCTTATCCTCTTCCTCCTCATCCTCCTCGTTCTGCCCGTCTGCTCCTATTCCTGGTCATGCTCCTCCCCCCCGTCATGCTCCTCCTCCTCCTCCTCCTCCTCCTCCTCTTGCTCCTCGCTATGCCCTCCTCCTCCGCAGCCTGCTCATCCTCCTCCCTCGGCTACTCCTCACGTTCCTCTTCCGCACGCTCTCGTTTTGCTCCCCCGCCGCCCTTCTGCTTCCACCCCTCCTGCAGACGGGCCTAATTTTGGGAAAGATAGAGGGGCGACGGACGGGAACGGGGCCGCAAGGCCCGCACACAGACCCAGTGCTTTAGAACGGAAGTGGGAACCTCCAAGTGCAATGCCCTGTAGTGGGGACACATGTTGACATGTACACACAGTTGTACACACATACATACACACATACATACACACATACATACATACGTGCATGCATACATACATACATGCATACATACATCCATACGTACATACATACATGCATGTGAATGTATGTATGCATGTATGTATGTATGTATGTATATGTATATGTATGCACGTATGTATGTATGTACGTATACACACCGAACGAACTACCGACCTAGCTACCAACCGGCCTACGCACTGCCATACTTACGGACCGACCGACCTACACACCAACATGCACATATACATACAGATATGCAGACATGCGCACACGTGTGCCTACATACATACACACACATACGTGCCTACATACATACATTCATACATGCTTACAAACATGCACACACACATCCTTACACGCATACACGTGCAAACGTGACTGCATACATGTATACATTCATGCAACCAGGCGTACACAAACATATACAAGTACTTATGTGTACACACAGACATATGCACACATACATACATACATACAAACATACATACAGACAGACAGACATACAGACATACATGCATGCATGCATACACACACGCATACACACATGCATGCATACATACATACATACATACATACATGCATACACAAATGCATACGTACATGTGTCCATGTCTACATATCTAGCGATGCCCTTTCCCCTGCTGAAAAAGCTCCTCTTCAAACCCAAGGCCGCTACACTTTTCCGGGCACACCACTGCCTCTGCAAACATTCTGAAAGCACGAGGACGGCCACTGTTGGAGCCGGCCTCGACTAGCCAAGGGTGGGTGGGCACGGGAGAGCTTGAAGCCAGAGCCCCCGCGCGTCGAGGAATCGCTGCAAGCAGCGATGCCCTTCCTCTGCTGAAAAAACTCCTCTTAAAACCCAAGGCCGCTACACTTTTCCGGGCTCACCACTGCCTCTGCAAACATTCTGAAAGCACGAGGACGGCCACTGTTGGGGCCGGCCTCGACTAGCCACAACCGCTCTTGGTGGTAGAAGGGGCGGGGGATGGAGGAGCGAAGCGGGCACCGAAGAGCTCTGTTGGCAGCGGCGGCGGCACACGAGGACGGTGACCGGAAGGGCGGGGGTCGACGTCGCTCGGCCTCGGCAAACGACTCGAAGACAGAAGCTGCCAGGTGGCCACGCAAAGGGGGGGGCGCCGGCAGCCTCGGCGAAAAGCCGGACTTTTACTACGGAGGGGACTCGGGAGGTCCGCGAGGAGCGTACTAGCCCCGATCTCCTGGATAAAAATCTCTAGCAACCTACTGGAGAGCCATCGGCCCCTGTAGCGAGACCAGTCTGGCGAATCTGTGAGCCTATGCCAACACGCGGCCCCTCCCGAGCGGAGGGGCGCTGGGGTGATGCCGCCTTTGTCTGAACGTTGAATTCCGAAGAAAACCTTGAGGGAATCCAGACAACATCTGAGAACACGGGCATCATCATGCAAGAGAGGGGAGCGAGGGGAGGACAGAAGTGAGAGGGCCACGAAGAAATGCACAACTGCGGGACATCAATCCTGATGTGCACGCAGCGCGCTCATAGGCGTCACATTCTGGGCGCGCCCACGTGCACATACCTTGAATGCAGACGATCCAACGTCCGCAAGGGGAGCGCCAGGTCCCCGAACTTCAGCCTCCGGAACTCGAAGGGCCTCATCATCCCGAGGAAGCCGAGGATCGGGCCGCCGGAGACGTCGCACCAGCCCCACGCCAGTGCAAGGCTCGCCGAAGCGAGCAGCAGCGCCTCCGGCATCGCCTGGTGGTTCGAGCCAGGCGTCAGGTGCTCCCGCGCGAAGGAGATGTCCCACGACGCGTCGAGTCGGCGTCGGAGGGCACGATTTGCGCCCGCCATCCAGTGCTGGAGCTGCGAGACGAGGGCAGCACGGCGCGTCTGGACCACTGGCGTCAGGCCGCGCGCGGCCGCCAGGTCCGCCCCCGCGGGGCGGGGGGTCGGCGGGCGCGGCGCGGCCGCAGGGCCCCACAGCAGCAGCGGCACCAAGGGCCCGACCAGGCGGGCCCGCGGCTGCGCCGGCCCGGCTGCAGCGGCGCGGGAGGCCAGTGCCGGGGCTCCACGAGCCCGGCCCCAATGAAGGCTGGCCGTGCCCGGGAGCAGCCGGGCCGTCACCTGACCAGGGGATGAAACCCTGCTCACCTCCATGGGGGGGCCTCCTCGGCAAGCCGCCTCCGCCGCGCGGGCCCTCGCCCGGGAAGCCCAGCGCGAGGTCGCGCACCCGCGGTCGAGGGGCGAGCCGCAGGAGCCCACGCCACCAGAGGCGCGCCACCAGCCAAGCCCACCGAGACTGCTGCCGGCGCTGCAGCGGGAGCGCAGCCCAAGCGCGGAAGGCTGAGGCGTCCCCAGCCTCGAGGCTGGCCAGCCAGCACGGAGCGGGAGGCGGAGCCTCGGCCCCGCGGGCCAGAGCGCGCGCCGGGTCGCAGAGCGTGCGCGACGGGACGTCGGCTGGCTGCAATCGCGTCGGCGCGAAGTGGCATCCGATGCACGAGCCCGTGGCCAGCTGCAACGGGGCCCTCCTTCTCAAGAGCTTGTTGATCGCAGTCGATGAGGAGCGGCCCTTGCTGATGGCCCCGATCGAGACGCGGGGGTCCAGGAGGGGGTTGTGCTTGCAATCGGGGAACCGCAGGCCCTGCTCGCCCACCGCGTCGCAGGCCGCGTCGATCTCCAGCAAGTTGATGTGGAGGGGCTTGCGGAAAAGGCGATGGCAATGCAGCTGCCAGGGAGCGAAGCCCACGTAGTCGTTCAGCCAGAGGGCCTCGAACGCTCCAGCGGGCGCCGAGCTCTCCGCCGGTGGCGGCGGAGTCGGCCCGCCCAGGTTGTCGGCGATCAGCTTAGACAGCTCGCCGCAGAAGCCGTGCGGGTAGAGCGCGGCTTTGGGAGTCAGGCCGCCCTCTAAGACCGTGTTCTTGCGCCCTCCGCGACAGCGCCTCGCCATGGGCGCCAGCCAGGGGCCCCGCACGACCAGGAGGCTCGCGTCCTTCTTCCAGGGCGCACCGAACTGGCACATCGAGAGGTCGAAGCGCTCTACGGCCTCGTGCGTCAGCAGGAACTCGACGATGTGCGTGTGCCAGAAGTAGGCCGCCAGGGGGTGCTCGTGCAAGCCGGCACCGTGGCCCGAGAGAAGGTGGGCGAACAGCGCCAACATGCCCAGCCTGAAGAGGACGCTCCCCAGACCCGTCGGAGTCGAAGATGGGTCGAAACCCCAGGGCCGCGCCCTGGACCTGAGCCTCGGGTGCCTCGCGATGGAGAAGCTGGTGCATGGAACCTGTGATATAGTCATCTTGACGCGCCTCTGCCAGATCAGCCATACTACCCACTCCGCCGAGCGTGAGTCGACCAGGTCCCAGTATTTGTGGCACTTGATGTCTATCCTCGGGCCCGCGCGCAGGCCCCGGTCCGCGAGGTAGAGACGGGCCTCCTCCCCGCAGCAGAGCTCCAGCACGTCGAAGTACTCGATCAGCGAGGCCGTCGGGTCGACGGCGCCAGGGGGAGGGGCGGCATCCTCCTCCAGGTCCTGCAGGACGGCGCCGTCCTCGGGGTTGGCAAGGGCAGCCCAGCCTGAGGGGTAGACCCGCGTACGGGCGCCTCGCTGCTCGCGCTGACGCCAAAAAGCTCTGGCGGTGGGCGCTGAGGCAGGCGCCTTGACGGACGCTCCGGCCAGGTGCGAGGCGTCCGAGGCCAGAACGCGCGGCCCCCAGCCTGCGGAGAGGTCGGTGGCCATCAGCGGGAGGAGAACCGCGAACAGGGCGCACTCGTTGCAGGTCGCGCTGCTCAGGTCGAACACCTCGTGCGGGTCACGGCCGACGTCGACCTCCTTGTAGCAGTAGTGGAGGAGCGACAGGGTCGGCCGCCGGAACAGCGCGGCAAAAAGCCCCATGCCAAGGAACCTCTGCAGCCCGAGCGTAGTGGGGCGTCGGCCTCGGGCCATGGACAGGCCCATCCAGGCCAACGCCAGCCTGCGGGCGCGTGAGGCGCCGACGAGCCGGTCGTGGCCCAGGAGCTCTGCCCCGAAAACCGTCGCCTCCGCCGCGTCCTTCACCTCCTTGCCCGCGCTGACCCTGAGGCCAGCCTCGGCATAGCCCTCGCGCGCACGGGCGAAAGACTCCTCGATGGCTCGCCGAGCTTAAGCGAGCCTGGAGCGTCGACCGCCAGGCCGAAATGGTCGCCCAGCACGACGCCCTCCCAGGCCGACCCCTCGGGGGCGAGGTGGCGGTTGAGCACCCGCCGTTCTGGAAGGAAGCTGCCAGCGTGGGCGAGCAGCCGCATGTGGGACTCGCACGCCCAGTCGGGAGCGCTCAGTCCTCCCATGATCAGGCCACCATGGCAGGGAACCACTTTCTCGGGGAGTTCGCGACCCTCACGGCAGCAGCGCCTCCGAAGCCGGCCCAGCGCTGCGAAGCCCTCGTAGAGCCTCGTCGGGAGGGGGAGCGCCACGTCGTTGGTGCGGGCCATGTCGTAAGTGCAATCAATGGCGGGACAGAAGTCCTGTAGGTCGTCCGCCCAGACGCGCAAGACAGAGCCAGCCGGCACCTCCAGGACCACCAGCGCAGCGGCGCTCGGGGTCAGTCTGGAGAAGCCGCCCAGCGGCAACTCCGCCAAGTTGCGAGCGACGCGATTGAAGACGACCCTCTGCGCGTGGGCGTCCTTGAACACGGGGAACAGGGTACCTCGCAGGGCCTGCGGGGAGTCGGCCGCGTCGACCAGCTCCAGTCGCCCCACGTCATCCCACTGCTTCAGGTACTGGAGGAGGTCGCCAGGCTTGCCCGCCTGGCGGGCCGGCCTCGCCGGAGGGGGTCGGGTCGGGGGCCCGACCGCGCGCGCCAGAGGGCCGGCGCCCGGCCCATCCCGCGCCAGCAGCCGAAGCTCTAAGAGCGTGGCGGCGGAAAACGGGGCCGGGAACGCCAGGGGGTCGAAGTGGCACTCGGCCTTGGCGAAGGGAGCCTTGCTCGGGTCGATGGTCATCACCTCGGAGTCAGGAGAGGGCGCCACGGCGCCCAGGGGGAGATGCATCGCATTCAGGAGATAGTCGAGCAGAGCGTCGGCCTTCTCCACGCGGCCACCTTGCCATTGCAGGGGCCGGCACATCGGTCGCACAAGCCTCCTCAGCCTGGACACCATCTCGGACTGAGACGAACTGAGAGGCCTCCCCGCGCGGGCGCGCGGCGGGCAGCTCCGCGACTCGCCCAGGTGCAGGTGGGAGAGAGCGAGGACGACGGCGTTGACCCACATGTGCTCTACGTGAGTGCGAAGCCATCGCCCGCGAGCGCGCACGCCCCGCGGGGGGGTACCAGCAGCCCGCCCGAAGGGCGGGGGGCAGGGCAGCAGACCGGCAGCAGGAGTCGCAACCTCCTGGAACCCAGCGGCGTGCATGGAGGAGCGGGCGAAGGCGCCGAAGGCTGTGCGAAGCCCGCGCAGGCGGCGGATCAGGCCAAAACCCCAGCGGATGCCCACGTCCAGCGAATTGCTGCCGCCCACCAGCCTCCAGCGGCCCCCCGCGCGTCCGCGCGGCCGCGAGGCTGGGGCAGCGTCGCGCAGAGCTCCCGGGCCAGCCAGCCCAGGGAGCCCCGCTCTAACTCGCGGGGGGGCGCGCCAGAGGCCTTGCCTTGGCGCTTTGGGCCCCCCCTCCTTACTCCGTCCTCCTCGGCCCTCGGGGCGGCAGCCGGCACCAGCATCCGCTCCGCGCCCTCGAGGGCCAGCGTGTCCTCGGCGTAGCCGATCATGGAGTCGCTCATGCCCTCCTCGCTCGCGGCGCCCGTCATGTTGAGCTGGCGGTTCCTCCTGGCCATGGCGGAGAAGGCCTGGGGGCTGCTCTGGACCTGACATCGGAAACGCCTCAGGGCGGCAGCGCCGCGCGCGCCGCCAAGTTGCATGCCAGTGCTCTCGCCGAGCCCGTCGTCGTGCCCGCCGTCCGCCAGGAGCGACAGTGCGTCTGGTAGGCGACCACCGCTCTGAGCCAGGTCCCCCATCCATGACGCCTGCTGGACCAGCCGGGTCGTCAGCTGCTCCACGCGGCCGTTGGCCCCTGCGGGAGCCACAGGGGGCTGGGGTTCCGCGGTCTGGCCCGCTAGCGGAGGGGCAGAGCTGCGTGGGGGTGGGGGCGGAGGGCACGGCGACAGAGCAGGGCCTTGGGAGCCCGAGGTCGCTGGGCCGGCGGAGGGCCGCTGCGGGAACGGGTCCGCCGCGCCTCCCCAGCGGGGCGGAGGTGGCCCGACGGCGGCCGCAGCGGCGCGCGCGGCGGGCAAGCCCTCCAAAGCTGCGACCCTCTCCCAGAGCGCGTTCTGCCCGACCAGGATCTGTTCCAGGACCCGCTGCTGCTGCTGCGGCGCTGCCTGGTGAGGGCCTTCTGGTCGGCGCCTTCGGGGGGGCGGGCAGAGCAGCCGGCTGCGCGTGAGGGGCTGCCCGCTGCCGCTTCAGCTCCGCCACCTCCACGGCCAGGCTCCTCAACTCCTCGACCGCGCAAGCCCGCTGCTGCTCCAGCAGCTCGCTCGGCGGCGTCGTGGCGGCTGGAGGGAGCAGAGAGGCCTCCCCTGCGAACCGCGCGCCGAACCCAGCCTCGGCGACCGCTTGCTGGAGCCCGGGCACCGGAGGGGGGCGGAGCGGCGGTCCGGAGGCGGGCGGCGCCAGCCCCATCTCCTGCGGTACGCCTGTCGTCACGAGCGCGGGCTCGCCAGCGCCCGGCCGAGAGTCCAGAGCGGCCAGCATCATGGCGGGGACCGCCTTCGCAGTAGCCACTGGGTCGGACCCCCGGCCATCGTCGTGGAAGGCGTAGATCTCGCCCTCGCCAGCCTTCAGCGTGAGGAACCCGAACTCTCCAGCGATCTCTCCAGCAGCAGGGGCGGGCAGCCGCGCCGCGGCTGGCACGTTCTGGGGCGTGGCGCGCAAAAGCCAAGCGCTGAGGTCCTCGTCCCCCTCCTCGCCAGCGTCGACCACGTTCTCTTCCTGAGCCATCATCACCAGCGGTGGAGAGGAGGCGGCACAGGGGCGCCGTGGCGGGCGGCCTCGGCGAGGTAGCCAGCAATCGCCTCGTCCTCCGAGGCGAAGCGGCGCAGGCGGTCGCCGCGGAAAGAGCGGTACCCGCCGATCCGCCCGGCGATGGCCTCCCAAGCCCGCCGCGCGCCGCAGTGGACCCCCACGAGGTCCGGGGCAACTGGGCTCGCCCAGACCGCGTAGGCCCAGGTCTCGGCGTGCGCCGCTCGGGGCGCGCGGGGCGGGGCGGCCAGAATCGGGCGGGGCGCCGGCTCCTCGGGATCCGTCTGCGTACCCACGTCTCGTGTCGCAGGGCCCGCGCAGGGGGCCGCGCCCGCCGGCGAGCCGCCGGCCCCGCAAGGGGTCAGGTGCACGTCGACGGTCTGCACAGCGGACCCAGGCGCCGCGCTGCCCAGCGAGGCGCCGGCCCCAGCCAGGGAGGCAGCAGGCGCCCGCCGGCTGCAAGAGGACGCCGCCGCCGCCAGGAGCGAGGCCAGCATCCACTGGATGGTGCGCGGAGAAACGGGGCGCGCGGGCGCCCGCCGAATGAGAGCTTGAAGCCAGAGCCCCCGCGCGTCGAGGAATCGCTGCAATCACATACACACACGCATGCACTCATGCATACGTAACTGCGTACGTGCACACATACAACAAGATATGCTTACATGCGTGCACACATCCGTTCATCCATATATACATGCATACGTACATGCACTCATTGCATAACAGTCCATGAATACATGCTTACGTACGTACATCCATACCCGCATACACACAGACAGACAAACAGAGAGGCAGGCATATACGAAACGACAGACATGCATGCATACACATGCGTGCGACATTACATATATAGACGCACTCGTGGACAAACATTATGTGTATGCATACCTGCACACACGCACGCGTACACAGTGATAAATGCGCATCTTGCAAGTGTACACACAGACGCACGTACACTTGCACATGCAGATGCATGAAACTGTATACGTTAGCAATAAACCTGGGGGAGGATACAGCGACGCATGCGCGCAATCTCGTCTTCGACAGACACGGGGGGCACACAGAAAATGCAACTGACAGCGCCGCCCCTTCTCGCATGAACAACAACCTGCCAATCTGTTTCTATACCAGCACTGTAACCCCGTGCGCCAGATACCCCTGGGTACTTGCCCTGTGCAGTTTGAATTCACCTGGTGCATGTGCACGAATGCTCAAGCCAACCTGCTTCGAAATGACATGGGGGAAACGCGGACGCAAACCTCTCTCCTGCCCCGCAGGCGCCATGGACGGACTGCAACACGCGAGCAGCAACTCGTGAATATGCTCGCTCAAGGTAGGCCCGAGTTCGGAAAGTATTTTTGTTGCTTGCTGCGTAGATTGCCGGCCGTAGTTTAGACGTAAGAGGTTTACGCTGACTTGCTGGGCCTGCGTGTGCATTCGCGCCCGTGTTCGTTGCTAGACGATTCCATCGCTCAGCCGCAAAAAGGGTAGAGGATCAGCTCACGAAACTTGTTTTCCTGCTGCCCTTGCGCCGGGAGGCGCCCATTTATCGGGAAATGGGGCCAACGGCGAGGCGGAAACCAGCTGCATGCAGCAGATTGCGTACCCCCCCCCCATTCCCTATCCTCCCGTCCGTTCCTCCCGACATCAGCACAACAACGCGCAATCAACAGCGCTTGGGTATCCCAGCCGCCGTCAACATACCAATTTCCCCTGATTGAACAAGTATTTGGCCGACTTCGGCAGCTTTGAACCAAGAAACCTTGCCCTGTCCTGGAGGCGCATGTTTTGCCTCCACCGGCTGCCGCCAGCCTTCCGCCGCCTTCCGCCGATCCCTCGAAGGCGAAGCCCTTTCTGGAACGCCTCGTTGGTGCAACAGGTTTCCGGTGCAAAACCACAGCAGCGAGGCGGCTGCTGCCCGACAGCGTGGTCTTCCCTACCCCGGCGGCCGAGCACAGCAGGCGCTGACGGGCTGCTTTGCGTCGCCTGGGTCTCGAAGCAGTGGGTCCTACACACATTCGCCTTCGGGGGCCCTCACAGGGCCCGCGACGTCCACGGCGGCGGCGACGACGACGTTTACCACGACGTCCACGACGACGACGACGACGCCCGCGACGGCAGCGGCGCGGCGCGGCAGGACGCCGCCAGTCGTCGTGGACGTCGTCGTCGTCGTCGCCGTCGTCGCCGTCGTCGTCATCGGCGTCACCGCTGTCGTCGTCGTCGTCGTCGAAGGTTGCGCGCGCGCAGGCGAGCGCTGAAGGGGAGGCAGCTGGGCGGCATCCTGCGCTCGCCGGGGTTCACGTCGAAGAATGTGCCCGGGGTGCATATGACCCTCGCGCGCGGAGGTGTCGGCCCTCGAGCCTCGATCCTCGAGGAGGGGTGGGCGAGGAGGAGTTGGGCGTTACTTCAAGGGGGGGCAGTAAATAGTGGGGGAGAAACGTGCACCTTTCGTGCATTTGTTGGGCCCCAAAGAGCCCTCTGTCGGAGTAGATGGGGTCGGAGTAAATGGTGTCGGAGGATCGCGCCGCATCGGCGATACATCGACGATGCATCGGCGATGTACTGGCGATGCATCGGCGATGCACCGGCGATGCATCGGCGGCGTCGGCGTTGCGTTCACGTCCGCGTGCTGGAAACTGGCCTAGCCGCATCGGCGATGCGTCGTCGATGCGGCGATCCTCCGACCCCATCCACTCGGATCCACCTTTTTTTATTTACGCGCGGGTGATCGCCTGCCGAACACTCCTGCCCGTGGCGCCGAAACGACGAGCGAGGGGCCCGAAGAAGGGCCGAAAGAAGCGAGGGACGGACCAGGACCCGAACAGAGCCGAGCGAGGGACCGACCCGAGCAAACAGGGACAACGAAAAATCGAGGGCCCGAAACACGCGATGCTGGCAAGACTGGTGAGACAATTTGAAGCCCGCGTCCTGGCTCCTGGGCTTCCAGCCTCAACCTGCCAGGCAGCACATTATACAACAGACCAGCAAGGCGGCGGAGAGCCCTTCCTCTCTTCGCGAGCCTGGGCTGGGGGGGGGGGGCAAAAGGAGCACATAAAGGATGAGTGGGCGCAGGCGGTGCGGGTGCCTGCTTCTCAGCGCCTCTGTACCCACTCATCCTAAGCCTAGCCTCTGTCCGACTGTCCGACTGTAGAGAGAAAGCATAGACAGAGAGGCATGCACAGGAAAACCCCAAGCGGCGGGCGGGCAAGAGTCTTCTCTCTTTGCGAGCCTGGCCAGGGGAGGAATGACAAGAGCACAGAAGGGATAAGTGGGCGCAGGCGGAACGGGTGCCTGCTTCTCAGCGCCTCTGTACCCACTTATCCCAAGCCTACCCTACTGTCCGACTGTCCAACTGTAAGAGAGAAAGCACAGACAGAGAGGCGTGCACAAAATCCCCAAGCGGCGGGCGGGCAAGAGTCTTCTCTCTTTGCGAGCCTGGCCAGGGGAGGAATGACAAGAGCACAGAAGGGATAAGTGGGCGCAGGCGGAACGGGCGCCTGCTTCTCAGCGCCTCTGCACCCACTTATCCCAATCCTACCCTACTGTCCGGCTGTCCAACTGTAAGAGAGAAAGCACAGACAGAGAGGCGTGCAAAGAGGCGTGCAAAATCCCCGCGCGGCGGGCAGGCGAGAGTCTTCTCTCTTTGCGAGCCTGGCCAGGGGATGGATGGCAAGAGCACAGACGGGATAAGTGGGCGCAGGCGGAACGGGTGCCTGCTTCTCAGCGCCTCTGTACCCACTTATCCCAAGCCTACCCTACTTTCTGGAAGCTGTCCTCTGTAGCGGCCAGGAAAGGGAGCACTGCAGAACAACACTACTGGCGGCTGGTGTCGGGGATCCGAGTAGTCCTGCCAGCATCAGACAGACGAGACCAACCAGATAACCCAGGATACATCCACCCCTCCTCCGAAGCCCGAGAAATCTACGGAGCCTCTAAAAGCCACGCAGGATCAAACAATGCCTGAAAATTCAAGACATCGTGAGGGGCAGGAAAAGCATATATATATATATATATAGTTGACGTTGTCAACCGCAGTTACCTCACCGACTGGTTGATCAGTGCGGGGGTCACGACCATCACACATGCGCCGAAGCCGTGAGATGGTGTCAGAGGCCCGAGGGGGCCCAGTGCATGATTTAGTTAAATCAACTGCCTTCTTGCAAGAGTAGCGGCCACATCGTCGACAACACATGGTATTATTTAGCCGCCTGAGCACGTGTCATCACCAGTGGGAGAAGAGCACTGCGAACGCAATAAGTAGCTCTTGGAGACTGAACTAGCCCAACAATTCACACAACGAAAACGACCCGCTGAGGGGCCCCAGAAGTGCTCACGCAAGGCCCCAGAGGAGGCACCAGAGAGGACTAGGGATGGGGCCGTGGGGGCAGGGGACTCATCAGACTCCGCCGCCCAGACCGTTTTGGGCACATTCTTAAAACTCCATGCTATACAGTGACCGATATACACACCAAGATTGCGCACCAGCACACCAGAGCGCTTGATACGGTCGTGCAGTACCGTGTCCAGAGTGTGTAGGTCTGCACCTAGGTTAGCAAGTCTGTCGGCTTGCTTATTACCCACAGAGGAAGAGTGGCCACGAACCTTGGTGACCTTAATTAGGTGATACCCGATATCTGAAGCCGCGCGGTGGACACGGACCCACGAGGATGCGTGAGTGGCCCATCCGTGCGCGGTAGCTTCATACCCCATTGCCCAGCCGTCGACGACAGACTGGGCATCAGTGACAAACTCATAGCAGTCGGAGGGGGCAGCGTGGGTTAGATAGAACAAAAACGCGTAAAGCTCAGCCCCTGAAACATCCTGGGTGAGAAATGGATATACGCCATAGGCACCAGCACTAAGCCGAAGCCGATCATTGGCGACGGGTTCACCAAAAACATTTCGACTACGCGGAGCAAATGATCAAACGCCCCATCCACAACGGAGAGTGAGCGGCGAGGGACCATGCTTTCCCGAGCCGTCTCCGTACGCAGGCGACGAGAAAAAGGAGCCGTCTGTGGCCCCTTCCCAGACAGGGTCTGGGAAAGGTGGTGCCAGCAGGGAGCAATAGCGCGGGTCGGGAACCATGGCAGTGGTCCAGACAGGGTTCTCGCGGCACTGCTCTATG